CTAGATTTCTTGGTGGCCAATGTGAGCTTTTTTTCTTTCTGTAGTTTAAAAGAAATGTATGCACTTCCCACAGCAAGGCATGCAAATGAGCCGGAAAACAAACTAAATCCTGGCATTAGAAGGTCCCGCTGCTGTGTCAGCCCACACCAGGAGTGAATGTGGGAACCCTGCGGCGAGCAAGGCTTGTTCTAAGTCACCTCGTTCCCTCCGTCGCACAGCCTTGGCTGTCAAGCTCCATGGTGGGAGCAGGAGGAAGGTGGAGGACGGCAGTGACTAGGTGAGGGAGCAGCCTGCCAGCCTGCCCTCCACGTCCTCGGCTGTCTCACAGGGGCAGCTTTCCTTTGTTAACAACAGAAGGCAAACAAAGGTGGCCCTGGGAAAAGACAATGAAGACATTCATGCCGAAGCCTGAGGAGTCCTCTTCTCCCCGCACAGAATGGACCTGGGAGGGCTTGGACCAAGAAGAACATTCCCAGTGCATATGGGAGGAGTGTAAAGTATGGAACCTCGGGGTACAAACAACTCAGTTGACAGCAAGATTGTGTGGAGTCACGCACAGGAAGAGAGAGATAAGAACTAGGCTTCTGTTTTTGGGGGGAGAGTTTCATTCCAGGGTTTCTCCTGGTAGCTGAGGGAGAGGTGAGAGTCTTTCCTGTTGGCCCCACTTCTGGGCTTCAGCACAAGAGGATGCCTGGGAGAGGGGAATTCCCCCGCATGCCTCTGCCTGGGAAAAGCTGGCCTGGGCGTGAAGGAGCCTTGACTGGGGAGCTCTGAGTCTCGCCCAGGAAAGCTGGGGCAGGTTGCCTGGTTTGGCTGCCATTCACCCCTTTATTTTTCCATCCTAGGAACAGGCTATTGTCCCCTTCTCAGGCAGACTAGAAAACCTGTGGAAAAAGCCCCCTCTACTCAGGCATGCCCTAACCCATCTGCTTCCACCTTCATTCTGGGGCTCCAGCCTCCAGGACCAATAAACTTTGGAAATGATCCAAAAACAGCACAAGGGGGCACGTCCCTGAGACATTACGGAAACAAGATTAGCAAAGCTTGGAAGCCACAAGATGCCTACGTTACTGAGAAATGAAAGGTGCTTCCCCTGCCTCAGGCCCTACAGGGACTAGTTATTCACCTGCTCTCTTTCCTCTCTCCCTCTCATCCCAAATCATGTTTGCCATCACTTTATACTACTGTAGTATATTACTGCACGTGTATGTTTCAGATTTGGGGTTCGTCTGGCTGTATCTCCTTCAGCCCGTTATAGAACCTGGGTGGGAGATGGGGGAGTGTGTATAACTAAAATGATGTACATATGCAACAGTGCCATATGCTATTTGTTCATTCACTTTTAAAGTAGTACAATTTTATGTGTTACTACACAGGATTCTAAAGACTGCCATTGGAAACACAAGTTTTTGAAAGGTTGCTTCCCTTTTGGAAGACAAATTATAAACAAGAAACTACCTCTATAAGGAAATATGTTGTAGGGGAGAAAAAGTCAACAATGGAAGGTCCAGAAAACCATTGTTCAACACACAATTATAGGACATCTGGTTTGTGTTGAGCCCTGTCCCAGCTCCTGGACATACAAAGACAAACAAGACAGACAAGTTCCTGCTCTCATGAAGCTTATGTTCTAGAAGAAGAAAGAGATAATAAACAAATAATCAAATACTGTAATACGTAGAAAGCAAACCAGGCACCAAGATAGAAATTAAGGAGGAAAGAGTGTGAAGAACTGGCATTAAATATGGTGGTCAGGGAAAGCCTCTCTGAAGAGGTGACATTTAAATTCAGACCTGAAGGATACAGCTCAGCAGAGCTGGGATAATTGCATTCCAGCAAAGAGATAGTATGTGCAAGGGTCCTGAGGTGGGAAATGGCTTAGCATTTTCAAGTTACTAAAATGTAACTGGAACAGAGTGAGCAAAAGGGAGGAGGCATGAAATGAGACTGGAAAGATAGGCAGGGTCACATTCGTGCAAGACTTTACAGGCCCTGGTGAGGAATTAGGATTTTATCACAAGTATGACAGGAAACAGAAGTGACATCATCTCATTTATGCTTTAAGATCTCCCTGTGTGACGACATGACTTATGGGGTAGTCTGGTGAATTCTTATTGCTTTTAGAAGTCATAAGGTTTGGAGAAGGCATCACAGAAGAATAAAAGTGGGAGTAAAGAAATAGGAGGAAAAGAAGGATGTTAAAAATGGGCACAAACACATAACATGACAAACATATTCAGTTGCTCTCTTAGAATATTATTTGGCTCTTGTCAATATTCTCCTGGACACTCTTTGTAAAAGGCTGTATACCGTAAAAACAGCTCGAGGTAGTGGCTTTGGGGACTTGGAATTTGTTGTCTGTGGTTATAGAATATCCAAAGGAGATCTTGCACATGTTGTCACATCTGGGCTGTGACATGGTCACACTGTGTAAAACTTCTTCCCCAGGACATAGGACATCTCTGGAACAGCAAGAACACAAGAGGCCGGGGTAGCCTTTTGCAAGGGTGTCCAGGGCTCATCATAGCAGGGTACAGGTGTGGGACACAGGTGTGGCGCTAAGAACAAGAGAAGGGAATGGGATAGCCAGTGAACGCTGCCCCAGCTGTGTCACAGTCTGCCTTCCACCATGCTCCTCATAAACTGCTTCTGCTGGAGGGAAGCTTTTTAATTAAACAAAACTTGCTAGAATCTGTCTTAGCAGAGTGCAAATAGAGAGAAAGTTGAATTGTTTAACAGTTCGTTTGTTTTGCAGTTTTATGATACTTGATTTTGATTTTTATTAGCTATTGCTTTGTTATTCTCTGAATCTGGGAGATGAGCCTATGATGGGCCATGGGAAGGAAAAGCCACAACCAAATCAAACACTTGGAAAGAGAATTAATAGTAACGCAAAGGGAAAACCACCTTAGTGTGGGCAAAACAAATAAGACTGAACTCTTTGAAAGGCTGTTGTGAAAAATAATTTGAAAACTTTTTCCCTCATCAGGATCGTGAATCACACTTAAGCCCAGCCCATCTGATTTGCATATCCATATGAATGGATACATTTCTACAAAGAGACAGTCAACAGACCAATGTCCACCAGTGCTGAGCAAATGTATACAGTTGGCTTGTATTGTATTGACGATTTGATCCTTGGCTTCTTAAACTCCCGTCATTAGGAGCTTCTAGCACAATTAAAGTTGATAATCCAAACATGAGACATGGAAATTGAAAAGAAGCACAAGGAGAAGTTATCATTCGGCCAAATTAAATAATTCTACCTTGATGTCACCTCTTAATGAAGAGAGTAGTCATCAATTAAGTTAAAATGACCATTTGAGGAAAGGGAAAAAGGCAATATGGGCCAAGTCCATTAATAAGTCATCATTCTGAATATATACACTGAGGTCATTTCTACCTTTCTTCCTGCCAACACTTTACCATAAAAACAGGAGAGGAGATAGGAAAACAAAGTAATACCTATCGTATGGTGGTAAATTATTGCTTTTGTTGCTCACGTTACCATGCTTCAGCTACTCGCACCCATCCAACCGCGGGACCACTCAGCTATCAGCTCTCACAGGCCATAGGTGGTTAATCAGAACTTTGAAGGGCACCAATAGCAGTGTAAATGTAACAGGATTGTACCCTGTGCTACTCAGATCAGATGCACCGTCATCTTAACTTACTATGAATGATGTGACCAGGCTGTGTAATTTCCCGTACCCTCGCTCAGACTTGTCTCCAAGCTACATAGTGTGTTTTAATTTTATGTTCATTACTGCAAAGGAGAGAAAGCAAGTCTTTCCTCATTTTAACAATAGCACAAATGGTTAGCTGTCCTGTCCTCTTGCCTCAGCAAACCATAGAGGAACACATAAAACCCGTCTGAAACGTATTATTCTCATAAAGTCAAATTTTATTAGGAAACCCAGCAGAATAGTGATTGTCCAAGGCAGCCATTAAAAACCTTTATCTCCATTATTTAGGAAAAACCCATAAGGCTGCAGGATAGCTCTTTTCACTGCCCACCCTCCCCTGCAACACATGCATAGTGTTAAACCTTTAAATATGACAGCAAAAAATATCACCAGAATATTTTATAAAGTGCTAAAAAAATCCTAATTTGAGATTACAATTATTAGTCTTATTAAACCTTCAAAGATTCAACCTTGAGAGATGGAAATTATATGGGAAAAACCAACTGTGTTTCTTCCTCAAAATCAGATTGTGTGGCAGGAGGGCCAGCTGTTCCCTTCCACAGCATGCAATTGTCACTAGGAAGTGGCTCCCAGCCGAGGAATCCATTTCTGAACTCCCTGGCCTCTAGCTGGGGCCTTGTGACTCCTTCTCCCATTGGAATGTGAGCATAAGAGATGTGTGTCATATCCAGGCTGCAATGGTGAACAAGTAGGTGTGCCTTCCCTCCCCTTCATCCCCCCTGCCAGATGGAAACAAAGGACTCCGGGCTCCAGGGGATGGTGGAACCCCAAGATGAAGGAAGTCTGTGTCCCTAAATTACCAAGTGGAAAGTCCGCCTGCAGAACACCCACCTTGGCTTTTATATGAAGAAAAATAATACCTTTTATTGTATTAAGCAACCGGAATTTGGAGGTTTATCTATTATAGCAGCTGGTGTTATCCTAATTTAACTAAAACAGGGTGGAGGTGGTTATAGACTAGCAAATATAGTTTACTAGTTGTTGGTTTATAGCTTTGGTTTGTCTTCTTGGTTATTTGATGTACCCAGTAAAGCTCAGATTACATTACCTAGAGCTCTAAGCTCTGGCAGAAGTTACATTCTGGAACTAATGTGGAGGAGGAAAACTTTTGCCCTGGAATAACTGTCATTTTTAAGAGTGACAGATCCAGAGTAGAACATGCTCTTTTTTTTTTTGCTAAAGACACCTTGCCTTTAGTAAGCACGTAGAAACCATATGGACTACAATCAAGAACCTGAGAGTTATCAACACATGGCAAAGGGCTATGCTCAGAACAGGTCATGCTGCACTTACCTTTAGCATCTGTGGTCTCCTGGGGACCAGCCCTGCAGACTGTGGGGCTGCAGGCAGAGCAGTTGGGCGACGACAACCTGAAGAAAGAAAATAGAAGAAAGAAGTAATAAGTTTATGTGTTTATAAGTTGCAGCCTGTGGACTTAGAGGAACTTTCGCTCATGTTTTCAGTTGATTTCATAAACTTTTGCTTCTCCTCTTCCTCTCTTTCCACACCCCCAACCATAACCCCACACTCCCATAAAATCACCCCAAGTTGGGCTTTCTCATTGTCTTCAGTGATTTGTTTGTTCCCTGATTTGTCGTAAACGGGTAAAATGTTCAACTTTTGTACATGAAAAGCTCAAACATTAAGTTCATAATTGTTTTAACAGGATTTATGAGTCTTTCTCTAGGGAGTTGTTTTCAAAATAAGATCAGTGCTATGAATGGAATAGGAAATATTACAGAAATTTTGTTGGTTTCCCAGTATAAGTTAGAACTTAATAGCTGTGGAGTAACTTGGAGACTCACAGATGCTGTGTCTATCCTTTGAAACACATCTCTATCTGTTTCCCTGAATGCAGACATGATCTCTTTTTAGGCAAGCCGGGGCTTGGTGGGAAGCACAGGTCCTTTTGTACGGAATGGACAGAGTCATCAATTTCTAGAGTGCAACACAAGGTGGCCATTGTTTTAGGCCTCTGATTGAGGAGGAGGAGGGTATCCAAGCTCTAGGGACCTGGAACTGTGTGTGAGATAGGGGTAGAGCAGAATTGATGTCAGCCTAAAGAGTCCTAAAATGCTCCTGTACATGTATTCAGCCAACGAACCAGTCCTAGTCATTCCTGAGACAGGGGCTGGTGGCCCACCTTGCATTTTTCTTCTAACCTACAGCAGCAATTGAATCACCTGTGGGTATTAATTTAAAAATGCAGATTTCTGAGCCCAACCCCAGTAATTATTTTTCAGTAGGTTTGGGGCAGGTGGTCTGATCCAGGTAGTCAGGGGACCAGTCTCCTGACTTCTATAGGAATCACTCCTTGCTTCTCTTTATATTTTTTGTCACCTAAGTGGACATACCCAGTCACTATAGTTTGGTTTGGGCTGTTTTTTTTAAATTTTATATAAATGGAATTATACAATATATATTGCGTCTGGCTCAAAATGCTCAACGTTGTGTTGTGACATTACTGAGTGTAATGATAGTTTGTTCCTCTTCATTGACACTGTTTAAACATACACCTGTCTATCCATTCAGCTTAGATGAATAGAACTTATTCTAAAATTGGTTTATTTTCAGTTTTTCGGCTATTATGAAAAATGCTGCTATGAACATACTTGTGTCCATTTCTTCGTACACGTGTGAAAATGCATTTCAGCTGGGTGTATACTTAGAAGTGGAATTGCTAAGTCTTAGGGTATCCATAGCATCAACTTTAGAAGACAAGACCAAACTGTTTTCCTAAAGGGTTATATCAGTGTACATTCCCACCAACTGTATATGAGAGAACTCACTGTTCTACATCCTCACTAACATTTAGTATTAATGATCTTTTTAATTTTAACCTTTCTGGGGGATTATTCTACATGAGTATGCTCCTTGTGGTTTTAATTTGCATTTCCTGATTACTAATGTGGTTAAATACCTTTTGATAAGTTTATTGGTCACTTGGATGTCTTGGTTTATGAATTTCATTTTTAAAGTCTCCCATTTTTCTAGTGGGTTGTCTTTTTCATGCTAATTTGTAGGGGTTCTTAATATGTATCATAGTTACAAACCCTGTGTCTGTCACTGAGTGGAAAATATCTTCCTCCTCTCTGTGGCTTGCCTTTTCATACTTTTAATGGTGTATTTTGTTAAAGAGAACCATTTAATTTTAAGGTAGTCCAATTTATCTAACTTTTTCTTTGTGCTTAGCGCTTTTTGAGTTCTGCTTAAGAAATCTTTGCTGACTTCAAGAGCACCAAGATATTTCCTATGTTGTCATCTAATGTTTCTATTGTTTTACCTTTTACACTTATGTCTTTAATTCATCTAGAATTAATCTACCTGGAATTGAAAACATGGCCTTTCGCCACTGCTCTGCCACTTTTTTCATAAATAAGTGCCCGTATAAGCATGGGTCTGCTTCTGGGCTCCTTATTCTGTTCCATTCGCCTACTTGTCTATCTTTGTGCCGTAATACCATCCTACCTCAATTACTGTACAATAAGTTTTGTTATCTGTAGAACAAGCCCTCTCACTTCGTTCTTTTTTGAGAGTGTTCTGGCTATTTCCTGGCCTTGAATCATCTTATCAAGTTCCACAAAAACACCTATTGGAATTGCACTGAATCTATAAATCAATTTGGAGAGAAACAATATTTTTACGATATTCAGTCTTCCAATCCATGAACATGGTTTCTCTCTCCATTTACTTAGATCTTTATTTTCTCTCATTAATGTTTGAAAGTTTTCTGTGTAGAGATCTTGCACATCTTTGATTACATTTATTCCTAGAAACTTGACATATTTTAGCAAAGTGGCATTTTTTTAAATTTCATTTTTAGGGGCTGGCCCTGTGGCATAATGGTTCAGTGGCCCAGGTTTGCAGGTTCAGATCCCAGGCATGGACCTACACCATTCATCAGCCATGCTGTGGTGGCGACCCACATATAAAATAGAGGAAGATTGGCACAGATGTTAGCTCAGGGCAAATCTTCCTCAGCAAAAAAAAGTTCATTTTTAAACTTACTAGTAATAATATTCTCTTATACTGTAACACTTTTATACTGTAACTATAACTTTTAAACTCTTACTAGTACTAATTTTCTTTTATATTTCCTGCTTTTAGACATTCATGAAATTTTGTATCATGCTATATTTTCCTTTATTATAAAAATGTATAGTTTCCTTTATCATAAACATGTTTCTGCTCTCCATTCGACCTGTATTACTTTTCTGTTGCCGCTGTAACAAACTAATGCTCTGTATTTGTCCTGTGGCTTTAGGAGTTGCTGGCACAGGGCCTCTTCATTTCAGAAGCACAGTCCCACACGCTGCTGCTGTTTCACTCGGGGATTTGTCTCTATTAGTACCAACTCAGAAAGGAAAATCATTGCTTTTCAAATAATTTGGGACTATTCTGAGAGGCCCCATCAGGGTTATCACAGCTTTCGTCTTTTCTGGGTTTCTATTGCTCCTGAGTGACCGCGAGGCCAATTGGGAGGGTCCAAGGTTGAGACAGGGAAGCAAGCATTGCCCTAAGCAGTAAAGGAGAGAAGAGGGCTAACCCCACAACATCCAGTGTCTCCTGAATTGGTGACTATTGAGAAGCCCTGAACCAACACCAAGTTTGGTATCAGGTGGCCATGTCGCTAGAACATGATTTTTACCCTCTTACAAAGTGACGTTTCCCATTGTTTTCTGATCGTAATAATCATGTCGAGCATTTGTTAAACCTACAGATTCACCAGTGCCTCGAAATCAGAATTCCTAGAGGGAGTGGCTTGAGAATCTTTGTTTTTATTTATTTATTTTAAAGTATTTTTTGAGAAAGATTGGTCCTGAACTAACATCTGTTGCCAATCTTCCTCTTTTTCTTTTTTCTCCCCAAAGCCCCAGTACATAGCTGTATATCTTAGTTATAGATCCTTCTAGTTCTTCTATGTAGGACACTGCCTCAGCATGGCTTGATGAGCGGTGAGTAGGTCCGCACCCAGGATCCGGCAAACCCCGGCAACTGAAGCGGAACACGAGAACTTAATCGCTACACCACCAGGCCAGCTGAGAATGTTTTTTTTAACAAGATCATTTTCATAATCAAACAAGTGTAGGAAGCACCGCTCTCAAGGACTATCCAGGGATGGGAGTGGTCAGTTTCAATGCCACAAACCCTGCTGTTCTCACCAAGGTTCTGCAGGGTTCCTTGAAAACATACTCCTTGGATTGTTGCACACTTTTGGTTAATTTCCAGAGTTTTGTAAAAGTTGGTTTTGACAGTTTTTGCTAGGGTTTTTCTGTTTTTATGGAGGGGTGGATATACATAGGTCCTCTCTCTGCATTCTGGAAGTCCTACCCTTCACAGGTTTGTTGTAGTAGTAGTAATAGTGGTATTACTATTGTAAAATATACATAAAATTTACCATTTCGGCCATTTTTTAAGTGTACATTTCAGTGGTGTTAAGTACATTCAAAATGTTGTGCAACCATCACTACCGTCTGTCTCTTGAACTTTTTCATCACCCCAAACAGAAACTCTGAACCCATTAAACAATAACTCACCAATTCCCCCTTCCCCCGGTCCCTGGTAATCTCTATTCTACTCTCTATCGCTATGAATTTGCCTATTCTAGAGTCCTCACATAAGTAGAATCATATACTATTTGTCCTTTTGTGGCTGGCTTTTTTCACTTAGCATAATGTTTTCAGGGTTCATCCATGTTGTAGCATGTATCAGAATTTCATTTGTTTTCAAGACTAAATAATATTCACTGTATGTATATACATGTTTTGTTCATCCATTCATGTGTTGATGGACATTTGGGCTGTTTTCAACTTTTGACTATTACCGTCACTTGTTTTTTATGTGTCATATTTTATTTATAAGTCAATTCAAAATATTTTCTAATTTTCATTGTGATTTTATTTCAACCCATGAGTTATACAAGAGTGTATTGTTAAATTTTAAATATTTAGACAGGGCCGGCCCTGTGGCTTGGCGGTTAAGTGTGTGCGCTCCACTACCAGCGGCCTGGGTTCGGATCCCAGGCGCACACCGACGCACCACTTCTCCGGCCATGCTGACGCCGCATCCCACATACAGCAACTAGAAGGATGCGCAACTACGACATACAACTATCTACTGGGGCTTTGGGGGAAAAAAAGGAGGAGGATTGGCAATAGATGTTAGCTCAGAGCCGGTCTTCTTCAGCAAAAAGAGGAGAATTAGCATGGATGTTAGCTCAGGGCTGATCTTCCTCAAAAAAATAAATAAATAAAAATAAATATTTAGACATTTTCTAGTTTTCTTTTTATCATTGATTTCTATGACAATAACACTTGTCAAGAGAACATACTTTGTATGATTCGAATCCCTTGAATTTGATACTTTTTAC